CCGATGCACGCAGTTTCTTCACCTCAGTCGCACTAGTTTCGATCTTGTCTTCCATTTTTCATCGTCATCTGGATTACCCAAAATTATCGCGAACCGTGCCTTTAAGTTATAATAATAACGCCTTCCATGTATCAGGAACAATATAGGCTTCGCGTTTATTATGGCACAACTGTATTACGCTCCACAGAATATTTTTGTTAACCAATTTTCCAATACAAAGTTAGAGGTTTTGTGATTTCGTACCTCGCGCTCGCCTGTGGTCGAGAATCGAGCGAAAAGTCCAACGACTGAGATTGCGCACATCACATAGCTGGGGAATGTCAGTGTGACCATGTAGAACAGAGGCTTACGTTTTACTGACACATCATACCGTACCTCCGACACCTGAATGAGCCGTGTACAATACTCGCCGCAAAGGATCCTGAACTTGCTCGGAGAACGTAAGCTCACGCTTTTTATTGTTTGGAAAAAACGAGTATTTTTTTCAAGCTTAACCTACTAAGACTCAACTCTTTGAACTTTTACAAGGTGGTGTTAGAAACCATGTTGAAGTACAAGGGTATTTCGTGTGTATTGTAGAATGACTGTCATTTGAAATCGAGTCTCTTACATTGATGCCTTCGTGTTCATACTTGACCTCGTCTACTTTAACTTTCAGCAGATGCCATTCCTCGTTGTCCGTGTAATGTTGTAGCGAGTGCTCAGTGTGGGCCCGTAGACGGATTTTATCTTCACCGTATGCCCAACTGGCAATCTGTAACAGCAGCGAATCAGCTTTCAATAGGCAAAAATGAGGGTTTTATTAATCTGACAACTTGAAGCTCTCGGGGTCCTTTTTTACTAATCAAAATCGGTTTACAATGCTACCCAAAGGTAGCATATCAAGCTCGAATATTGACCAAACTCAGCGAAAATGGCTTTTTTCCAGAAGCTCTAGAGTTGAGTGGGATTTGGTCATAAAAGGTATGCAATGAGTAGTGATAAAAAGTAGGCTCGAAAGATGGTGTCATGCCGGGAAACTGCTGAAACAGAAAAGATCTTCCCAAGGAATCCCGCACATGTCTGAGAGGGACGGAATTTCATAGGGATGGGACATTATCTAATAACCGTGACCGGGGGTTGATAAGGAGTTAACAGTGATGATCATTAGTCATTCTACGGCTTTTTCGGATGCTGAATATCAAATCAGGTAGAATCGTAGATGCATATGGATGACTTTCACCTTACCTCTAAGGCACACCGCTGATCATCCAGTGGGAAACGTTTGATATTGATCTCACACGTAACTGTGTAGACGGCCGGATGGCTTGCTTCCACTGTTCCATTTGAGTAGATAAGCACTGGGGCTCTGATCGACGATAGCAGATCTTCGTGATGCAACCTGGAAGCGCGCACCCTTGAATGAGGGCCTTACAGCCCGTTCTGCTGATCTCGGCTTCACAAAGCAAGCTGTTTCCATATTAAACCTCAAGAACTCATTTCCTAGAAATTCGTCTCATCATTCTATGTGGTCGGCCTCCTTAGTGAGCTTGTTCGACTGAGGTCAATTGGAAATGTACCCGTAGTACCTAGAAGTCTTGGGCAATGCCACCTGAGTCACAGTAAGTTACTAAAAATTTAGGTGTGAAGGTTTTCATGGTCTGAATTTGTGGAATCACTCAAGCGTCCAAGCTCAGAAATTGTAAAATGAGGTCAATGTAATTACTCACATATTGAAGATGATAATATCGGGTACCCAGATGACCGAAATTGGCAGCCACGTTTTCTCGACTCCGCCGAAAAGAGCTGGATCCCACGATAACGATGGATCTAGCCATTTCTATGATCAGATCATTGAAATTTCATTTTTTTCGAAAAGGAATTCATTTTCAATTCATTCACAAACCTCGTCGACGTAGACGAGTACGGTCATCGTCTGCTTCAGCTCGTCTATACCCAGTATGTGTACTAGTTCTAACTCGTAGTGCACATCCAACAAACCATCCGGAGGTGCATTGGCGTTATGCCGAGCGAGCAGATGCTCAGTCAGCTTCTTTGAAGATCCTAAGCAAAAACTGGTATCCATCATAAATATTTTTATTCATGTATGTTCAATTGGAGGAAGCTTATTAGCTTCGGCCCATTAGAACTAGACCGTTACCAAAGTAGTAGCTCAGTAGGCTGTAACATAGATAAAACGAAGACGAGGGTGAGGTTCAAAATAAGGCCATTTGGCTTACTTGTACCGTAGAGCTCACAGATTCGATCGGAATCCATTTCAAACAAGCCTGCCTTCGTATACCTTCTCATCCAGCTTTTATTCAGAACCCTGCAGGCATTAACGTTCCTCAAGTGAATTCCGCTATTCTCCCCAGATACGTGAAGTGATTTTTCCATCTTCCGAGGGATAGAACGTTGGTTGACCATGAATTTGATCCCCAGGCCAGGGATGTATGGCAGTGGCACCACATGGTTTAAATCTATACCAGTCTCGCTTGAATCTTCACCATCATAACCAATTCCTGTCTAGTTTCCCACCAAACTCCCACAACATTAGTTCTCGTTGCTGGTGGTTTTCAGTAGATGACTGCTAACGGCACAACGTTGCTTAACTCGATTCATGCAATCGAGTAATTGCTTTTCATCTGCACGCTACACGACCCTTTCTCGGGTAGGAATTCAAATGATAATCCAAACTCTTTTTGAGTTAGTAATCGCTATTGCTACAAAGTAACGCAATAGATGAGAATTCTACTGAAGAGAAAATAAAAGAAATGCCATTACCATTACCAGATTCAACGAACTGTCCATAAACATTTGACGATAGAACTATGATGAAAACTGCTCCTTTACTCTTTTCACCCATCTGTCATTGGGGTCTTTCCTTTAATGGCTACGAAGGTTGGCAAAATAGTCTCATTCAATGATTATGGCCGGAGTTCAAAAAAAAGTTCATCCAATTTCCTACGCTTTTCACGCTGACAGCACGTCTTTTAAAGTGATGCGCTGAATGACAGAACCTGGGGATGACAGCATATGGCATTAATCGTGGTGGGACCTATCAGGGTTGTTTTATAAAAGCCTAATGACCATTATAAAGTGCTCCGAACGGTCCTTCGGATGCAAATGATACGGTACCTCGATATAATGAAAAAATTGTGAATACAACACAAATAGAATACCTGCTATGAAAGTGTCTTGCGAAAAATCCGTGTAGCCAGCACTTGTCAACTGAAATTTGTCAGGGATTATTATAGCCATCTCAGGGTAGAACACATTCCAACTACTTCCCATGGCTGTTACAGTAATTAGGGTACTTAGTAATGTTTCGAAGCCTATTCCGATCTGTGGTATATCACTTATGAGCACACCAACACCCAAACGATTTCTTGGTTCGAGCTAATGGTATCGAGTCTCTCCATTCAAGTTGTAGGGCTTCTGGGAGCTCATGTACTTTTCCATTTGGTAGATAATAGCAATGTTCTTGACCGTTGTGAATACCCAAAAGCTCACATATGCGTTCAACCGTAATTGAATTTGCCTTCCTAAAAGATATAGGGCCCGGGTAGATTTCCTCGGAGGAAACAGTGAGGACGATACAAGTACGGCTTCATACCAGTAACGATGTTTGAGAGACGGAGACCTGTTTTTTTTAGAGAGGTTGTCTGGTTCTTTCTTTTTTGGTTCTTCTGTTGGACGTCGTCTTTCAAATAAGCATTTAAGAGGAGACAACCATTCAAATCTTTCTACTCAACATAGTCTGATCCAACCTCAACAGAAGGGGTTGTGAGCTCCGAGTCCCGAGCGAAACTGACAGCAGTGATATATAGCAAGAACGATAGATGCATGGAAGCTCTTGCTGTAGGCTGTCTTTCTTCTAAATCAGCTAGAAATCTGAAACATTTGTAAGGCGGCATACAAAGAAAACCCTCGTAACAAGGTTATTTTGCCATAAATTCGATTATTGGGGCAGAACATGAGAGAACATAGGGTACTTTAAGCCTGGCCTAGAAAAAGCCTTTTCCAAAACATGCTATCAATTTACCGATGGCAAATCACATATGGATTATCAAGAATTTGGCCAAATTACTTCAAATTATTTCGATGATATTAGAGATCGTGGGTAAAATTTTCCTCACTCCACAGTAGGCTGGATATAGAGATCTCAAGTTAGCAATAACAGAGTGATGTTCAGCTGCAAGAGAGAAGAAGTATGCCATTCACGAGGCTCAATGTCTTCCAGCAAAATGTCAAAATGTACACTTTGAGGAGAAAATGCTAAATGAGAAGAGGTGAATGCCCTTAAAATGAACTACTCCTCAGCGGCAGGAGGAGGCGCTAGTCATTTGAAAGCAACTGAACTTTTCAATAATTACTTTTGAAATAGCTCTTCCAGAGGAACAAGGGAAATGAGTGGAGTTCCTACTGATTTCCCCTGTGCTATGTGCATTGTGTGAAATGTTGATGTTCGCTTATTTGCTCTGGGAGAATACGAAATGTATCAAGTTTCAGAATCGTTCGGGAGTCGCCCAAATTTGGGGATCAAGGGATTAATGGCCCTAATTAGGGGAACAAGGTTGTCAGTTCTTCAAGAATTACCCAGCAGAATTGGAAAGATCAAAGATGCCAACCCAGCAGGCTACAAAGCTTAGGAGAAATGTTCGAATGTTCCCTCATAAAGCAGAAAACTCATTAACTCAAAACCTTAATGAAGCATCCACTCAATGACTCTTCAGTCTTACAGTATCGCATTCCAAGAAAAAAAAAGAGGAACTCATTTCAGAAGGATCTATGAATTCTGATTCCGACGGAATTGGTACACAAAGAAGTGGGCTTTTAAGAAAACTACGACCTCCCGTTGTTTGTGAGGTATCTTGTAGGTGGAAAGGCCAGTAAGGTATATGGTATAGGAACAGAGTTATTCGATAGTAAAAGAAGGATTGCTAACCCTAGTTTTCCTTTTACGGCTCATTCGTTTTCTGGACTATTTTTTTGCCCTTAAAGTTCTTCGAAGGTTTAGCTCTTGAAAATTAAAGTTCTGCTCATTACCCTGCCCCTCTGTAATGAATGAAGGGTTCGCATTTGTGTCGCCAGTAGTTCACGTATTGGCTAGGATGTATAGATGTACAGAAATTAGAAACATAGGTTTCCATATTGAGATGACAAAGGAGATCAGAAGCAGAACAACCTTAGGTCAGAAGAAAAAATTAACGTTCACATTTCTGTCTTATCAAGCTCCCTAGAGCGAATATATATAGTAGTACAAACTGAGGAGGGTAGGGATCAGCAGTACAGACAGTGAACTGCTCAACTCAGCTCCTCCTCCCACTACAGCTAATGGGAGGAAAAAAAATAATCGTGGGTCATCCGTATTCCGACCACGCACTGGGAAACCAAGTCACCAAAAAGGGAGGATTTGAGTACTCCTCCCTCTCTTGGATATGTGCACTGCCGGAAGTTTTGATTTTTCTGTTCTGGACACAACTTCTCAGAGCTACCTTTTCGCCACTGTAACCGTTTATCCGATGAAAATAGCTACATACATGAACACCTATCGTTCTAAAACAGTAGATTTTTCATTGTTGAACGTTTTGAAGATGAAGACTTCTATACTGAATGACTTGTAGCTGTTGATTCGGTCAGGACAACTTTTGAATTGCAGTTGGACCAGTTTCACCTCGGCGGGAACATTTTTGTGGAGGAAGTAGCTTCCCAGATCCCTACCCCCTTTTCGAGTATGTTACTTCTTATAATACACACGATGAAAACTTCATTGCACTTTGGGAACTTTAGGAGACTGGAATATCTACTTGCATGAAGAATGTGCGAGCTCTCAGAAAACATAATCTTAGAATGATTCCTTATTCCTAATCAAAACCCTTGCTCAACACAAACGTAGACTTTTCAAGACGCATCTGCTGGACTTCTTTTGTGAGGAAAATCCAGATCCTCTTATTAATAACATTAATAGGAGAGGAAAATTGATGAACGAAAAGCGATGCAGGTAGATAGAAAGATAGAAGCAGCCCCGAGGTCAGGTAGGCGGTCTCGCATGAGCTCCGCCCAGTTGAGATCGGAACGTTTAACATAATGGGCCGAATGGTGAGGAGTTGGTGCCGATCGTATTCGCTATTCTTTGATTTAGGGAAGAAGATCGAGACTGGATGAAGGTCTAGTTGGACGGGTTAGGGATTCAGAGAGCCTTGGCACCAGGTTCCGCATAGCTTCTCACTCCTCTTCCTCCTCCTTTTCTCTACCCTTTCTCGCAGCTAAGTATTGAAAGAAAATTTTATTCTACTTCGAAAAAGTAGATCTTTTTTCATTTTTCTAAAGACATTGGCTAGTTTTATATAGCTCATGCCCATCAAGAATGACAATCGGAGCTCTCACTAGAATGAGGAAAGTAAGAAGAAATGAATGTAAAGGCAAGCCATCGACTAGGGTCTGACGAGAAAAAAGGCTATCAGATGAATGCAAACTGATGCGGTTGCAATTCATTTTTGGGCAAACTCATTTTCAAACTCGCAGAAAATAATGGAGCGTAAGCATTATGCGCCTCAACACTCGAAAGAAACGGATGATAGGCACTATGCGAGGGATCCAAACCGCGTCAAACTTAAAAGTGTGCCTATTTTCATTTGAAAAGCGGAGTACAGGTTGGGAATAGTTCATCGGCAGTGAAGAAAGCGGGAAAAGTCGCCGATTCCGAGAAGAATATGGCTCTTCAGAAGGAGGGAAAATAGAGGTTGGACGAGATTGCCATGACGGAAAAAACATGGAAGGGATATTCGGACGAGATTTCAGTTATTGCAGTTGCGCAAAAGGCTGACTACATCGAGCCAGAACTGTACAGAACTGTCTTTCACTGTCACTATGGGTCATGACAAGTTGTTTGAACNAATGAAGGGTTCGCATTTGTGTCGCCAGTAGTTCACGTATTGGCTAGGATGTATAGATGTACAGAAATTAGAAACATAGGTTTCCATATTGAGATGACAAAGGAGATCAGAAGCAGAACAACCTTAGGTCAGAAGAAAAAATTAACGTTCACATTTCTGTCTTATCAAGCTCCCTAGAGCGAATATA